GACCATTTCTCGATTTGTGCGTGTCATCCTTGCGCAGGGGCCATGCTAATCTTCTCTGTATCGTTCCAATTTTATCAGATGTCCCCGAAGGGACAGACACGTGCTTCCACTTTGGTGGATATAAAGGCTATCTCGCTGTTGTTCCTAAGCGATGTGGGATTTCCTTCAAAACCCCACATGGGAATAGAGTATTTAATATAAAAGGCAGCCAGAACCCCACATGAAATTTGGCAATAAATAAAGTTAGAAAACTGCTCAAAATTAAACCCCAAACAAACGCATCAACAAATTCCAATAAATTCCCCCAGTCACAAACAAACCAAACTAGGTTTCAGAAATTTCGGTAGAATCTAACATGAAATCGATTTGAACCGATGAACTCGGAGCTCGAATCGAGTTTCCCAATCATAACCGAGAGCGGATTAAGAACTAGCTAGTCCCTAATATGATTCAACAAATGAACTTCAAAGTCTACCAAATTGCAAAAGAAAACAAAAGAAAACCCAGAAAGATTCAAAGAACACATCATAGATTATTGAAACAAAACAAAATCAGATTTCAAAATGCGAGAGAGAAACTTGAAAGAGCTCACTAACCTCTGCCTCGTCTACTGAAATCCCATTTGCGAGGGAGAGACGAAGCTAGAGTAAAATGCAGAGAGTGAGTGGGGAAAAGGCTTTTCAGAGTAAAGAAGAAAAATGAAAAAATTACTATTTTATTTCATTTTTTCTTACAATGAAAGATTTTGAAAAATTTATAGAAACATAACTTCTTGTTTCTCCTTTTCAACTTTCGAAAAATATAAATTTTTGGTGGTGATTCTTATTTTTTATTTATTTTTTTATTCTTAAGATAATTGTTTAGAAATTTTGAAAATAATAAAACAAGGTTATAAATATCAAAAATAAATATAACATACAAAATTTTAAATATTTAGTTTCAAAAATAAAATTCCATATAAAACTTTTAAGTTTTTTTTTTTAATCTAAAGAGAGAGAAAAAAAACAATACTTTTAAGAGATAACAAGCCAAATATATTCACACGACTTTTATTTATGGCAAGTTATTGGCGCGCCTTGCTTCAAATACAAAATTAGCGTTAAGTAGAACGAACCTAGTTTGGTCTATTTCTTCTTCTTGTAATATTGAAATTTCAGAAAYGATTTTAAATTTTTGTTTTATCTTTYTGGAATTAGAATGACCTTGCTTCATTTTGGTCCCTGTATTTTGAAAGTGTTATTTTGGTCCCTGTACTTTAAATTYTGGTTCAGTTTAGTCTCTGTATTTTGAAAATATTCATTTTAGTCCCTCCTTATAAAAATTTAACACATATTTTACGCATAACGACAACTCTTTAGTATAAAGTAATGTTTACATTTGAATAAATATATTGATTTTAGTGCCGTGTTGAAATTGTGATATAAACAATGAGATTAA